TTATCTCTTCATTTGATGTTTTAGGGTTTCAGGATTGTTGTATTCTCTGTTTGGCTTAGTTTTTTGGATCTTTGCTGTGGAGGGATGGCATGGTGCTTCTGCCTAGAGCGCCATTTTGCCGAAACTCTCAAAACTTCTGTTTTTAATATGAAATTTCCCAACTTTTATATTTACCCCATTTTTCAAATATCTGTACAAGCCAAAAGTATATCTCTAAGCTAGGGTTGCTGTGAGTTGGAATTGATTCGATGGCAGCGGGTTTGGTTTTTTTGTTTTTAAGCTAGATATGACTCATTGGCTACTGGTTTGCCACTCCTGGGTCAGACGTTGTGTAAAGGGGTCTCTTATCTTACCCATCCTTTTCTTACCTTGAACCAATCTCCTAATTTTAGAGTTGTTTTTTGACTTTGTGCACTCAAATAAAAAACAAACCCATTAACCTCCACCTGATCCGCCTGTATTCTTGGTTCTGGTTTAATAATTTTCCAATAGACCTTGAATACTTTCTTTCACACTGGGAATGCTAGGGGTTTTGAAACTTAAAATTCAAATTTATTTCAACCCTTCAATTGTATACGAAGCAAAACATATTCTGTTGAATAAGAGATGGGGAGGTGAAGGATTCATTTCCACCTTTGTGCCTCTTAGGCTATTTTACATACCTTACTTGGACAATGTGAGATATGACATATTGTCTTCTGAGTTTGGACTCATGAAATATTTCTTTTATCTGTTAAAAGTAAAATGGATAATGACTGATATTTTCTTTTTACCTTTTTGTCGTAGAAAACTTCAGATATCTACAAAAGCAATTAGAATTTTTTGGTTTTTTATTTACCCATCATTCAGCTTCACCAATTATCAATGTACGGCCAAACCTATATTATTTTGCTACTACCCACATCTCTCGCTTTGCCAGATTATTTTAGGACAAATAATTTAATTTGTATAACTTTATCCATAATACATCAGAGTGTATATGTGTTATCTATCTATCTGTCTATTTCAGTCATCTGTCTGTCTCACAGGGGGCAGGGATAGTTCAGTGGTAGCATTCTCGCCTTTCACGTAAGAGATCTGGGTTTGATTCCTGGCCAGTGCATCTCAAAAGCACAGCTACCACCCATCTGTCAGTGGAGGCTAGCATGTTGCTGTGATGCTAAGCAGAGTTCAGCAGAGCTTTCAAGCTAAGACAGGCTAGGAAGTATTGCCTGGTGTACTTCTAAAAAATCAGCTAGTGGAAACAGCCCAACCTGTTGTGCATAAGTTCACCATGAACTGGGGGTCAACTTGATGGCAGCTAACAACAGCAATAGTATATTATAAAGATTATTTTTAAACATAGTCACAATGCCATTATCAGCCATATTAAAAAAAATTCCTTAATATCATCAAGATTTCAGCCTAGGAAACCCTACGGGGCAGTTCTTCTCTGTCCTATAGGATCTCTATGAGTTGGAATCAACTCAACAGCACACAACAACAGTCATCAAGTACAGTGTTCAAATTTCCACAGATCGTGACTCATGTAAGAAAAAAAATGCAATGTGTATTAAATATGTGCCTTTTTGAATATTATCTGTATATTGAGTTGATCCATTAATAAATGCCCTTAAATCAGTAAATTATGCAGCAATGTGAGGCAAATATATTTGCTTCCTAAGAGTAACATGATAGGGCAGAATATTGATTTTGAAGAAGTGAATTCAAAGGACTAACATATTTTTTTGCTTTCCATGTTCAGCCATTTCTTAAACATCAATGCCATATAACTGAACAAAAATGTCCCCAGAAGGAAGAGATGTTTCTAATTTTTTTGCACTGTGGCATTCCCCTTTTCGTGTCTGGACTGAAAATCATTTTTTTCTGTTCTTCCAATTATGTACTACTGATAGATTCACAGTGGGATGCAGTAGAAATCTCTCAGAAAAATTTGATGAAATTTTTCATCTAATCCTGATTCTCTCAATCTAATGGATGACCTCCTGAAGTAGGACCTTCATACAGCAACAGACAACAAATTGCACTGTCCCTGATTCTACTTTGGCAAAAACAGCCTTCATAAACAGTTACTCATTTTTGGAATTGACGAAGACTCAATTTATGTTTTTACTCCTGCTTCAAAGCAATGAGAATGGAAATATGAACAAGATAAATAGATTCATACTTTCTTGGTGAGTCAAATGGAGGAAACAGACAATAAACAGACCAAGAAATAAGAATATAACTATGATAATTTGAGATAGTGGTAAGTGATATGAAGGATGTAAAATAGAGTAACATGATGGAGTGGCTCGGGGGATAATATTAGAGTGATCAAATAAGGCCTCTTTGAGGAGGTGACATTTGAGTGAGACCTGCAAGATGAAAAGTAGACAATTAAGTGGGAGAGTATTCTAGATGGAGTGAACAGCAAATGCAGTGGTCCTAGGTAAGAATGAGATTGGTATGTTTGAGGGACAGAAGCAAAGTTGTGGCTCCAGTGAGGTGAGTAAAGAAGAGTGTATAAATTGAGGTTGCAGAGGTAGGCAAAAATGAGATTACAGAGTTTGTAATCTCATTGGTCATGGTAAGGAGTTTGGGTATTCTTCCTAAATGTAACGAATGGAAGAATCTTGAAAAGATAGTAACTAATTTATACAGTATTTTTTTTTTCCATTTCCTATCTGCCTCTTCTGGGACCAAATGGGATTGAGTTTTATGGGAATCCTGGAAGCAAGAAGATGATGAGAAACTTACCTCACACAGGTCAGGCAAGAACCTAGAGAGCAGTTCTGAGAGTTGTGTTCTGAGAGCTGTGTGCAAAGATAGGATCACAGCAAGCTTTGGGAAGAGATTTGCCAATAGCGACTTATGGACACCCAGTGATAAAGTTGACACTGGCCCCATGTGAATGAGTGTGGCTTCCATGGCTTCCATAGAAGCTAAGCAGCAACTGCAAAGGTGGACTGAGACCTCCCTGCTCCTGAGGCTAGGCTAGAAAATGAGAAACCAGAAGACTTCCTCGTGGGGCCTAGGTATGGGGAGGCAGAATGCCTGCTGTCTGACCTTCAGTCTGTAGGATTTAAGAACATCTTACCTCCATCTTGTTGGACTGTCTCCAGACATTAGCCTCAATAAGCTAATAAACAAAAATAATAATGTAAAGAAGGTATCCCAGAAACCAGAGAGGGAAGATGAAACAGATCAGGTGCCCATCAGACAGAGCTGCTGGAGGAAACAGACAGCAACTTGAACAACAGTGACAAAAAAAATCACACTTAAGAATACTCAGGCACAGCAAGAAGAGACTATGTGGTACTGAAAAACATAACTTTTAAGTTTAAAAATTCAGTGGATCAATTTAAAAAGATTGTCACTCTTGAGATTCAAATTTTGCGGCCTGAAAGGCCAATTGGGCTAAACATTTCAAAATAGTAAAACTTAAAAGTAAGAAAGCCATGAGAAAAAAGCAAAAAAGACTTAGAACATGTTTACAGGAGAAGTAACCTATAAATAAGTTTCAAAAGAGAAAAAAGAAATCTGGAGAAAAAATATAAATAGTAGGAGAACATGGCCTTGAATTAAAATAAATAAAGACCAAAGTCTGAGGACAGACTGAGTTCGGGCAAGACTGTTATATTTGAAAATATTCTTGAAATTTTAGGTGTAAAAAAACACTTTTATAAACTTCCATATAGAAGAAAACAAGATATTGATTGAAAAAATAGAATCAGATACAGTAAAACCTGCAAAAGCCAGAACATGTGTAATGCAGAAGAAACCTGTTAGAGAAGGAAAACTCAAATATTTTCTACTAATATTGATAGAAAAGTGGGAAGACTGCACCCCGTTAAAGGTGGAAAACTTGTGAGATCTGGAAAAACAAGGGAGTCCTGTTGAGTTCCGGCTCTCATAGGTTTCACTTTATTTCATCTGTAACACTTGAAGTTGGAAGCTTGTGGAATAATATCCTCACACTCTGAGAGAAGAAGATGGTAATTTAACAATCTCATATACAGCCAAGATATAATCTTCTATTAGAGCAAAAGAAAGATATTTGTGGATATTCAAGGATTCAGGACATCATTCACATCACACATGAGGAAAATACATGAATAAGGACCGTGGCAAACAAGATATAAATCAGAATTGACATTTCCAGATAGGGGAGGATGAAGAGGAGAGGGGACAGATGGTTAGCAATGAAATCTTGCGCATGTGTCTTCAGTACTGTGAACATATAATTTAAATGCTTGGTATAAAAGCAACATACCTTACGGGGTATTCAAGTAATAGTTTAGAACTCAAGGTACTAACTTTCTCAGCAAAATGCAGGTGTTAGAAAGAGGACAGGAGGGGAGAGAAGGGGAAATAAAAATATTAAGAAGGCTTACCAGGGGTAATGGAGTCAAAAAGGGAGGAGAGGATACAAGTGAAAGTATGGTAAAAAGCCTCTTCTTGGTTTGGAGGTTACCAGCTGACCAGTTGCCATGGAGTCAGTTCCAACTCATGGTGGCCCCATGTGTGTCAGAGTAGAACTGTGTTCCATAAGGTTTTCAATGGCTGATTTTTGGGATAGATTGTCAGGTTTTTTATTCTGGGGCACCTCTTGGTGGATTGGAACCTTCCGCCTTTCGATTAGCAGGCAAGTGCATTAACTGTTTGCACCACCCAGGGACTGTGCATTGGGGCATACGTGAGGGGAAATAATGTTTTGATGTGGTAACTAATTGTTATTATTTTTTCAAATATTAATGAGGAAGTGTTAATCTAATTTTGAGTATCAGGAAGGGAAAGTTGACATTAACTATTAACTAAATGCAGTTAAATTTGCAAGAGGAAAAAAATGAAATAAAAACAACTTAAATCAGCAAGAATAAGGAAAAGGAAGCAATAAAGTAAAATACGTTATTTACTTAAAGCAAATTGGAGAAAGTAAAATCAAGTATATCACTTGTTGCAATTAATGGGAATGGATAAAACTTTATCATTAAAGAAACTATAAAAAACTAGTTGTCTATTATTTCTAAGAATTATATTTATAAATAAAGGAATGAAAGAATGTTGAAAATGAATCGATAGGAAAGAAATACTATACAAATAATGTGGAATCCAACAGAGAATCTGAAAAAGAGTTCCTAGTATATATGGGGATTTAGTATATGACAAATACGGTATTTTAACTCAGTGGGATTATTTAATAAATAGTTTTAAGTCATTTGGCTACCCCATATCTGAAGACAAATAAATTTAGATCCCTACTTTATGCCAAAACCAACTCAATATGGATTAAAAACTTAAATATAGAAAAAGAAAGAAGAAGAGGAAAGGGAGGGGGAGGAGGAGGAGGAGAAGGAGAAAGAGAAGGAAAAAAACCCTAAAAACTGAATATGTATCTTTTATGAACTGTGAAAACCATCTGAATCCAAGCAGAAGATTCAGAAATTTAAAAATAAAGTAGGCACAAGACCACATGTTTAGATGACTGAGGTACATTTGGAAAGATATTTCATGCAAATGACAGAGAAAGTGTTAACCTTTATGATTTACAGAGAATTTTACAAATTGACAAGGAAAAGACGAACAACCCAATGGAAAAATCAGGTAAAGGATATAAATAAATTCATCCATGAGGAAGCCCAAATGGCCAACATGTATAGGAAAAAAGTGCTTAAACTCATGAGTAGTCAGAAAAATGGAAATTAAAGTAATAATGATATTGGCTTACAGTTATCTAACTAGCACAAGGGAAAAAGCCTGATAGCACCTGTTGTTGGTGGGGATGGAGGAAGGCTACTCAAATACACTACTGGTGGAAATGTGAATTGTTTCAACCTTATGGAAAGCAATCTGGCAGTATTTCTTAAAATTAAAATCATTATTTGATTAGAAATCTTAGTTCTGGAAATGTATCAAATGTAAATAAATGTAACGATGTATACAGAAGAATTTTTTTTTTTTTTTGCTGTGTTTACTATATTAGCCAAAACCTGGAAACAAAGCAAATGCTTGTAAATAGGGGAATAGTTGAAAACATACTACATCCATACTGTAGAATATTATACAGTCGTTGAAAAGAATAACAGACCTGTACATTGATTGGAAGAATTTCTGTGACATACTACTGAATGGGAAAAGCAAGTTATATGAAACTGTCTATTATATGATCCCATTTGGTAAAAGAAATACCCCTATGTCTTTATTTTTTAATATATTCTTATGTAAGCAAGGGATAAGGGAGAAGACACATTATGTTTATTAATATGGGTTATTTCGAGGTAGAGTTTGGTGATATGAGTGAGAGGGAGAGAAAGGAGTAGAAAAAGGCAAGCAGAAAAGAAAAAGTCTACACTTAAAAACATCTATTTTATATGATTTGCTTCCATTCTTCCATTTATGTATGTTTTTCTTTTTCTTAAATGTTTATATCTTTATATAAATATGAGTGCAACTGACAGTCTCTGGAGGGTTTTTAAGTTAATGAGTGATATGATTTGCTTTTCATTTTTAAAACACATTTCAGCTACTGTGTGGAGAACAGATTATAGGGAGACTAGGATGAAAACAAAGAAACCAGTTAGGAGGCAATGATAGCAGTTTAGGCAAGCAATAGAGGCTTGGACTTTGTTAGTGGCCACAGTTAAGGAGAGAGGTGGATAAATTAAAGTTATATTTTGTTGTTGGAATAAAGAAAATGTGCTGATTTTTTTTTTTTGGCTAGCCTTCTAAGTGTGAACAATGGGGTTGATTTTGTTTTTCTTTTTTTACTGAGATGAATAAAACTGAAGATCAAGAGTTCTCGTTTGGTCCGTCCAAACCAAACTAAACCTGCTGTCATCAAGTTGATTTCTACCCATGGCAACTGTATCTGTTACAGAGTAGTACTGCTCAGTAGAGTATTCTTGGCTGTAATATTTATGAAAGCAGATTGCCAGGCCTTGCTTCCGCAGCATTGCTGGGTGGATTTGAACTGCCAATCTTTAGGTTAGTAGTTGAACACAAACGGTGCCACCCAGGGACCCTCTTTTGTTCTATATGTCTATCATTTTACCAGTGCCAGGCTGTTTTGATTACTGTATCTTTATAATATGTTTTGAGATTAGGAACTGTGTGTCCTCCTATTCTGTTCTTCTTTATCAAGATTGCTTTGGTTATTTGGCTTTTGTAAGGTCCATGCAAATTTGAGGATTGTCTTTTCTATTTCAGTAGAATCCAGAGATAAGGTCCATGGTTAACTAATATTTGGAAGGAGTTCTAAATCTGTCAAATGAAGAATGAATAGTTTAATAAATGGTGCTAAGACAACTGGATTTCCACATGCAAAAGAATGAAGGTTGAGCCATACCCCAAAAAACTAACTCAAGATGGATCAAAGACCTAAATATATGACCTAAAACCATAAAACTACTATAAGAAAAAATAGGAAAATGCTTCAGGACCTAGTCTTCAACAGCAGATTCTTAGATATGACACTGAAAGCACAAACAACAAAAGACAAAATAGATAGATTGAATCTCATCAAAATTAAAAACTTCTGTACATCAATAGACTTTGCCAACAAAGTGAGGAGACATAGAAGAACAATTTTGGGAACTGTATATCTGGTAAGGGTTTAATAACCTACAACTTAACAGGAGAAAGACAAACAACCCAACTGAAAAATGGGCAAAGGACCTGAATAGACATTTCACCAAAGGGGATATACAAATGGCCAATGAGTACATGAAAAGATGGTCATTGTCATTAGCCATTAAAAAAAAATCATTGCCGTCGAGTTGATTCCGACCCATAGCGACCCTATAGGACAGAGTAG